TCCGGGACTGAATGGGTTAACACCCTCATTGGTGATGGAGGTGAGTGATGAGAGGAGAGGGGCTCAGCTTGGAGGGAGGGGGTCTGTGGTGTTAGACCCGGACGTTACAGACCATTTGAGCTGCTGTGTCACGGCTAGGACTGGGAAAGGGTAGATGCGCCCCGTGACAGACACCATAGGTTGTCCTCAGGATTACCAGGGAGACCTCCCATGACAGCCCCACAAGCTTTTCCTCCAGGTCTGGAGGGGAAGTGGGAGGACTGGGGTGTATCTGCTTTAGTATTCACCACAGTGCCTGCATGCATACCCAGCCCCCATCTCTCTCACACGTCACCAACATTCAGCAGCCAGTGACAGAAAATGACCATAAAGCAAAATTTACTGCCGGTGAAAACTGTTACTCCACAGCTCGAGCAAAGCTAGTTTATCTCTTCATAACGATGCTCAGAGCACAGGGCATCCCGGAGAAGAGGGGAACGGAAGAGCTAAAGGAAGAGGAGGCCGTGGTGGTAGCGAAAGACAGTAAAGAACGAGAGGAGCGAGAAGGTCAAACAAACTACCCCATTGAGGGCACATTTATTTTCCACATGAAACACACAAACATGCAACAAAGTCATCACAATCCAATAAAGACTGATTAAGATTAAGAAGCCCTTTAATGTTTTATCAATATCTCTAATCTTGCCTTTATTTTTTGTCATTCATTTTATTATACACTTTAAATCTCATTTTCTCTTTGTGTGTTTTTTTTATTTTTATATGTAATATGTTGCTTCTGATGAGAAATGAAATGTGAATATTGAACCATAGCCACATGGCTCTGACATTTTGTCAGTAAAAAATGGGCATTGAAAATGCAGACAATTACCTAATACATATGATTGATTACCTTTTATGTGAAACAGGAAGAGAGAGAGAGGAGCACCAAAGTGCTATTTCATGCTCATCTCTCTCCATCAAACCCTCTTCAGAGGTCAAAACACAGATAAACAGTGGAGTATGGAGCAGTCCACCATGCCACTCCACAGAGGACACAGCTCAATGACATCTCTAATGATTCCATAACATTTTTCACATACTAAATGTTTGCTTTGTCAGCCGACTTGTTTACATCTTGAGTAACATGCATTTATGATCTTTTTTTAGTTCAACCCCCAAACGTCTACTGTTTCAACATTTTAGGAGCTTAAACCAAGCATTTTCACACACACACACACACACACACACACGCACACACGCACACGCATGCACACACACACACACTCACTCACACACACTCTCTCTCACGCCTACACAGATACACACCAAATTGTTGCAGGCATATCTGTTTACACAGATAAGTGCAATATGCTGTGGAGGTTATCAATATGATTGTGAGGTAAACTCCTCATGAGAAAGGATCCCACACCTAATCAATATATGCTATGGAAATTGTATGGAATGTATCTTTAATTACTGTAATATAACAATGTTGCACACTATGAATGCTCAATTGAAGACAATCAATCTTTTAAAAAATACATACAAAATATATGTGTTCTCCTTTATGGAGCATTTCAGCTATACCCTTGGATCACTGTCTCCCTTGGTCACAAATGGACATGCCTTACAGAATGTTGAACATCCATTCTCATGTCCCCAACACCTGATCCCTCCTGCTACGCATAAGGTACAAATTGGTCGCATATATAATTGCATAAACTCTATTCCTCTGTCCAAAACTAGACAATAAAATGTATGCTCACAATAAAGCTCCCCCATGTACAGACCACTGAATGTACACACCTGAAAAGCTGAGGAGGCCTAGACCATTAAATATTTGATTAATATTACATTTACATATGTAAGCATTTGGAAACTGGAAATGTGAGCATGATCTGATCTTGAAATATTAACTGAAACCATTTTCCCTGTACAACTCAATGAGTCTCACTTAAAATGGAAAATTCCCTGATAAGACTGAAAGCATTTATTTCCTGTTTTTCCCCATTACGAGGGTGACAAAAAGCTTAAAATGTGTAAACTTGCAAAAGGATAAAGAAGAAATGAAAAGACAAAATGACTTGTTTTTCACTCTCACCAGTTTGGGGGTACTGACAGTATCCACCTATTGGTTCTATTAGGTTATACAAGGTAAATGACAAATAATAAAGAGGACTTACTGTACTTACTGAATCCCTCAGGGGCTCCACTACACAGAATCTACATTAACAACAGCAGCAAACGCTAAAACTACTGCTAATACAGTATAAGACGCTCATAACCTGGCATATACATTTCAACAGTCCCTGACATACTGGCAAATAAATATATGCCAGATTTTATGTATTCATGTTAATATGTTTCTGTGTGTATAGATATGTGGGTGGGCAGATGTGAATGTATATATTCTTATATAGAAGAGTATAAAAATAAATTAAACTTACACCATATGACTCAAATTGAGCATACATGTACATTTAAAGGTAGATCACGTCTGCAAATGTATAGATATATACTGTATATATATTTGAAGCAATACAAGACAAGTTTATAAACATGAAAATAAAGAACAGCAGATATTGTAGCGAATATATTTAAAGACATCTTCCAAAAATGAAAGGATCAATTAAAGAAAACTGCTGCTTCAAAGTGCTACGGAAGACTATGATTCAGTCCAAAATATTCAAAAGCATTTAAAGGATCAAACCCTGTGAAGTGGGTGGCATACCATAAAACCTCAACACGAATCTCTTCTGGATTATACCAACATCTCCACTCATTAAAATTGTTCAGATCCTACTCAAGGAGAGAATTATGCAACCTAAAGGATAACTGTCATTTTAGGTAAAAGAAACATCACAAGATTTCATCATCAGACTTAGGGCTCGATTCAATCTGTATCGCGGAAGTTCAGTGCTATAGCACGATTGAAATGTAAAGGTAATTCCCAATTGAGCCGACATATACAGCATTTACAGTGAAAGCAGTCTCCACAAACATGGAAACATTGCTTTTACATATCAATGGAATGAATCTAGCCCTAAAACCTTCAAGAACTATTTAGCTTATGGGCATAGAATCTGTGGGGATGGAAGGGAGGAGGGAACAAAGGGAGGGGATATTCCCAGTGCAACATCAGCTTCACATACTGTACTTTATAGAACAACATTCTGAGTGATCCTACTGTAGAATGAGCTCATCTAGCTGCTGAGGAAAGGGGAAACACAGCAGTATCAGACCTTAGTATCATACAGCAGTATCAGACCTAAGTATCATACAGCAGTATCAGACCTAAGTATCATACAGCAGTATCAGACCTAAGTATCATACAGCAGTATCAGACCTAAGTATCAGAGCCATCAGACAGTGTTGGTTGGTGGTGGGGTGGGGGTCTGTTGGCTACAGCACCGGGGAACAGCAGAGGCTCATCATGCAACCAACCCAGCACTGCAGAGCAGAGAGGAACACCAGGCTTGTACATCACAGGTTGTGTGTGTGTGTGCATGTGTGAGGGCAGCTCTGCCTACTCTACTGTATGATGGATATCCTAGAAGAGGAGAGTCATTCTCTGAGGTGGACATCGCTCCCTGAGAAGCATGTTCTGCTCCTCTGTTCAAGGACTAGACGGCCAGAGAACTTCTTAATGCCACAGCACACACTCAAACACACATGCAAGTAGGCACACACATGTGCTGCGAGTGTGATAGCTCATGCCAATGACTGGACCTCCTCTGCAGGGAGAATAATAAGGCAGGCTTATTCACAGAGGTCAGCGTCATCAATATGTCAACAAAACAAACGAGGCTAACCTTGGAGTGGAGCGAGGTGTGCTCGACTGCCTCAGTTCTTAACTTACAGGAGCATACATTTTTAACAAGCATCTAACTGGTTGGTAAGATGCTTGTGTATGAACCTATATCAGGTTTCACTTCCAAAGGCATCCTCTCTGGTTGGCACACCATTAGAATAGACATTTACTGTGAGACAGCTGAATCCTCAGATCCTCTGACTGGCTCTCTGTCAGGTGGTGCATGCGAACCTTCAACAGACTCATTGGCCAGTGGCACAAAGCACTGTGAAATGGCCCTGTGTAGCCAATCAGAGATGCCCTCTCTCCTTTCTGAGAATCACATAGTCGTGACCGTCCACTCAGATCTACAGACAGCTTTGGTGTGGAAAACCACCAAGCTAAAACTAAGCAATAGGCCTCACTTTAAAAAAGATTCTCACTAGCAACCACATCAGCATGTCACAACAAGTTGAACTGTGTAGATTTGGTGTGAATTAGACTAATAAGAGTCAGATCTGGAATAGGAACCATGCTTTTAAAATTATATAAGTACATTCTGCATATTAAAATTCTCCTGAAGATATCCACACAAACACCAACTACAACTTCACAAATCACCTCCCTATTCTTTCAAAAACACACATCTGATAAAAGTAGAACAAATGGGGCCAGACATCTAGCGCCTTCAGAGCCCTAGCCAACAAGTCGCAGTTATGAGGTCAACATTCAATGCAATATCAAACTCTGGGCCATATGGTTTGGTGGTGAACATTAACAGACATCTCCTCCAATGCCATGATGTCACAGTCCTAAAATCCTCTTCAGTACAGACGAGGAGGTTCAATATCCTGTCTCAGAGGAATCAATGACTGTTGATGTGCATCAATGTCTAAACCCCACAACAGACAGTACACATTGAGATCAGTTTTAAATCCTGTCTTTACATTCCTTTAACCTATCAGGTAGAAATTTTGGCAAAAATACACATGCTCAAGGCATGGACAAAGAGACAGCAGTCGGAAAAGTTTTACAGTTATGTTTAGATAAATGCAAATAACAGTATAACACAATCATGACGTTATCATGTCATTATTATGTCATTTGCTATATATTAGTTTGCCCACATACAGAATATGAGGTCTTTAGGTCTGTTTTGGGTGTGGGGAGTAAAGGACGGTTATCTGGGCTGCATGCTTCCCCCCCCCCCCCCCCCCCCCCCCCCCCCCCCTCAGTCCTTCAGGTTGTCCTGTCCCACCCCTTGGGCTGACAGCTCTGTCAGGACGTTGTCCAGGTAGTTGGGGTCTGGGTAGCCGTGTCCCGTCAAGTTGGAGCCAAACTCTGTCTTGTGGTGGATCTCATTCCACACCACTGTATCTGACTCGCCTGTGGTGCTGGACGTGCCGATGGTGAAGATGAGGTGGCGGTCCCACGCCATGATCAGGAGCTTCAGGACCTAGGGACAGACAGATGGACAGAGGATGAGAGCCCAGATAGATAGATACAGCAGCTCACAGTGCAGTGTAGTCACCATCTCTCTTTCTAGTCCAGGGGTGTCAAACGTCCGGCCCACGGGCCGGATCAGGCCCGCAAACGGGTTTAATCCGGCCCGCGAGATGATAAAAAAAAGAAAAAAAAAAGATAAATATATATATATATATATATATATATATATATATTTGTAAAGTATAAAAATGCGCTGCAATTTTTCAATAAAATAAACTGCTGTTCCAATTGCGTCCACTGGGTGGCGCAATAGCAATTGTGTTAAGCAAGCAAACTGTTTATACCGGGGCAGAGCAAGTAGGTCAAGCACGTGCAGCCAATGAGCTACTTTGTTTTGCCCGCGATATTTATTACGGCTTCTACTTTTAACATTATGTGCTTTGGCACCCTCATTGCCCCAATATGTCTCTGTCAAAAAAGAGAAAAGTGGACGCAGAGTGCAGAGTGTTCCAAGAAAAATGGTCATCCTATTTATTCACGGAATTGAATGGGAAAGCTGTATGTTTGGTGTGTTCAGAGCATGTTGCAGTGCTGAAAGAATATAACCTTCGTCGCCACTATGTGAGTCTTCATGCCGACAACTTTCAAGGACAGCGGAGATGAGAGAAGGTGAATGAACTGTTGGCGGGTCTGAAGAAACAGCAGTCTGTGTTTACTCACAGCCGAGACATCAGTGACGCTGCAGTGAAAGCTAGCTACCTCATTGCTAATGAAATCGCAGTGGCTTCAAAACCATTTAGTGAGGGTGAATTTGTAAAAACATGCATGATGAAGGCAGCGGAGATTGTGTGCCCTGAAAAGCGGCAGGCTTTTGCAAATATCAGCCTGACAAGAAACACAGTTGCAGACAGGATTTCCGATCTTTCAGTGGATTTGGACAGCCAGTTGAAGCAAAAAGTAAAGTCATTTATTGCGTTTTCGGCTGCAATTGATGAAAGCACAGACATTACAGATGTTGCACAACTGGCCATTTTCATCCGCGGAGTTGATGACACATTGACCGTCACCGAGGAGTTCGTGGAGTTGGTGCCGATGACAGATACAACGACAGCAGCTGATATTTTTACCGTACTCGTCGGCGCGCTGGACAGGGTCGGAGTGGACTGGTCCCGCGCTGTCAGCCTGGCTACAGATGGTGCGCCCTCAATGATCGGGAAAAAAGCAGGCGTTGTGACAAAGTTCAGAGAGAAAGTGCAATCTGCAAATGGAGGACGTGATTTTTTGACTTTTCACTGTATTTTGCACCAGGAGGCTTTGTGTTGCAAGTCATTAAAGATGGATAACGTCATGAAGGTGGTCATCCAAACTGTTAATTTCATCCGATCCAGAAGCCTGAATCACTATCAGTTTGACAGCCTTCTCAGAGAGAAAGACCACATCTATGGCCTGCCATACCACACTGAGGTAAGATGGTTAAGCCGAGGTGCTGTGCTGAGGCGTTTCTTTGATTTACGAGAAGAAATTGAACAGTTCATGGAAGAAAAGGGCAAACCAGTGTTAGAATTTCATTCCGCAGAATGGATGCAGGACCTTGCATTTATGGTGGATGTTACAGAGCACCTGAATAACTTGAACAAACAGCTGCAAGGGCGCAACAAAGTTGTCACGCAGTATTATGACAGCATGCGTTCTTTCAAGTTGAAGCTGTCATTGTGGGAGACGCAACTTGCCGGTGGTGATGCAGCTCACTTCCCCTGTCTGAAAAATGTGTGCGCGACCCAACATGTGGCAGACATGAAGCGGTTCAAAGATAAAATAACGGGACTGTTACGGGAGTTTGAGCAACGCTTTCAGATTTATGTTTATATGTTTTTATGTTGATGTGCTATTGTTTTTAATTGATTTTATTTTATTTGTATATTTAACCTATTCTTGACTCTGTGGTTCTTGCACTTGTTTGGGGAACAGGATTTCATTATTTTTATCTACATTTCTGCCTGAGAAATGACACCCTGATATAGTTCTGTGATCTGTGATATACTTCTGTGAATCACTGAGGCATTGTGTGTTTGTGTGTTCTTTGTCCTCAGAACTTTCAAATAACTTGAGGTGTTTATGATTAATAGTGATGTTGTGCTTTTGGACACTGTCCTCAGGCTCCAGCTTTATGTTTATATGTTTTTATGTTGATGTGCTATTGTTTTTAATTGATTTTATTTTATTTGTATATTTAACCTATTCTTGACTCTGTGGTTCTTGCACTTGTTTGGGGAACAGGATTTCATTATTTGTATCTACATTTCTGCCTGAGAAATGACACCCTGATATAGTTCTGTGATCTGTGATATACTTCTGTGAATCACTGAGGCATTGTGTGTTTGTGTGTTCTTTGTCCTCAGAACTTTCAAATAACTTGAGGTGTTTATGATTAATAGTGATGTTGTGCTTTTGGACACTGTCCTCAGGCTCCAGCTTTATGTTTATATGTTTTTATGTTGATGTGCTATTGTTTTTAATTGATTTTATTTTATTTGTATATTTAACCTATTCTTGACTCTGTGGTTCTTGCACTTGTTTGGGGAACAGGATTTCATTATTTGTATCTACATTTCTGCCTGAGAAATGACACCCTGATATAGTTCTGTGATCTGTGAAACAGTTCTGTTAATCCCTGAGGCATTGTGTGTTTGTGTGTTCTTTTTCTTTAGAATTTTCAAATAAAATTGACGTGTTTTATGATTATTAGTGATGTTGTGCTTGTACTATTTTGGACACACTGTCCTCAGGCTCCAGCTTTATGTTGTATGTTGATCGTATTAAAACAAAGAAAACAATCTGAAGTTGTTGTTTTTAAGTTATATATACCATGATTTTTCCGGTCCGGCCCACTTGGGAATAGATTTTCCTCCATGTGGCCCCTGAGCTAAAATGAGTTTGACACCCCTGTTCTAGTCCATTCAAGGGGGTAGAGAAGGGAATGGGGATACAGTACCTAGTCAGTTGCACAACTGAATGCACTCAACCAAAATGTGTCTTCCGCATTTAACCCAATGCCTCTGAATCAGAGAGGTGCAGGGGGCTGCCTTAATTGACGTCATCGGCGGCCGGGGAGCAGTAGTTGCTGCCTTGCTCAAGGGCAGAACGGCAGATTTTTCCACCTTGTTGGCTCGGGGATTCAAACCAGCGACCTTTCGGTTACTGGCCCAATGCTCTTAACCGCTAGGCTACCTGCCTACTACATAACGTATTTTGAAAAACTGTTCTTCCCATATACAGACAGACAGTACTGTAAGTCTTACCCTCCTGCCCTTGTTGTTGTCTGGGAGGTAGCAGTGCCGGGGGAACCCCCTAGCGCTGAACTTCTTCCCTGGGTTGGGATGCTCTGTGGTCTGGTGAAAAGGACAAAAACAACAACATTCAGTCAAGAGGGAAATGTCAAATGTGCCCCCGGGACAAGCTTGTATACTCGTAGTCAGACTACTCTGGTGGGTTTATTTGCACTCTTTTAAAGCATTAATTTGGGGGGAAATGAATGCCACTGCCAAATTAAACCTTTCCCCCTTTCATTAAGAAACAGGTTCTTTATACCAGCTGTAAAACAACCAATTAACTGCCATGCTGTGTGATGCAGGTCTTATGTGTTGACATGCTACACCCTACTCATTGTACTCCATTCTGCTTCATAATGTTCTGTATCATTACTATATCATGACTTTCCTACACAGAGTACAGCTGTCAGTGTAGATGTGTTAAAAGGGGGGAGTGAGGAGTGTGAGTGGTGTGCAGGGGCACTGTGAGTGGGCTGTGGTATGTTGTTCTGATGCAGTGTGGACGGCAGGGGACAGACAGCCCCAGCCTCTCTCTCCCCTGCCCAGGGAGGCTAAGCTTGCTCTTCTGGCAGAAAGGTCACTTTATTGACTCTATTAAAGCTCAGCTCTGCAGAAAGGATGACATTTGCAGCCCTCTCCTCTTGACCACCCCCGCCCCCTGCAAAGAGAGGAGGTGAATCGTTCTCTCTATTTCACTCTCTTTCTCTCTCTTTCTCTCTCTTTACAAGGATGCAGTCACACGGCTTTGGGGCACTTCAACCCCCTGAGCAACACTAAAAACGTCATCAAACACCCTCTGAAGCCTCCTCATGTCAGACACAGCAGTATTATAGCACCATAGATGGAAGAGAATAGACCTAGGAAAGAGAGCCAGTGGATGAGTGAACTGTGTGAGTGTGGAGGATATGAGGGTGGTGACCTGTATGCCAGCAGCAATGTCATAGACTATGCGGATGGTCTTGGCCTCTGGGTAGCCGGGCAGGCAGTGGGGAATGACATGGTACTCCATCTTCCCAGGGGGCTGTGTGCCTGTCTTCTCCCCATAGATAGCCTTACAAGTGGGACACTGCAGACTGCCATCCTGGATAGGTACAGATTCAATGTTCAATATTCATAACTAATCTAATCAAACAACTTGAATCTAATCTAGAGTTGGTTTCATGAACATAGATCCTCCTTCTGTCCTAAATTGGCTTTTAATAAACAAATATTATTATAATTTAGTTTCCTGGTTATGCCTTAAAATGTCCATGAACCATGTTTATCAGAGTAAGACCTGCTTCTGAATTGGTTTGATCTCAATCTAATCAAATTGATATCATAGCATACCCCATCACATCAAATGGGGGGTGTAATTTCACCCACTACTATACAATTTCACCCACTACTATACAATATTATATTATGATACCATAACAAGCGCTGGCACGTATGCTCTTTCTCACCTTGTTGCCATTGTTGTACATGGCAACCAGGCACAGCAGATGGTACATGTGCCCACACTTGCCAAGCTTGCCCACCACCTCTGGCTTTATGCCCTTGACAGCCTCGTAGCCCGATGACATCACCAGCCTCTCCCTGCAGATGGTGCAGTCCTGGGAAGGGAAGGTGAGTTGGCACCAGTTAGACCATAACAGCTATTGTATGTTACTGTAGGGTTGGGATGCATAGCAATAATACACTGTATAATGATTTGAAACTGTATTAAACCTGTGTAAGTGTGTGTCATCCAGGACTCTCCTTACCTCATCAGGGGCTACTTTCACTTTCTCTGTGTATTTCCGCACCACATCCTCTGGGTTTTTCCCTAGCAATCAAACACAACATTGAAGGCATGTGGTTGAAAGGAACAAAAAACACTTACTCACACACACAATCATTACTCGAAGACAGATGCATTTTGTCCCTTGAAGACCTAAAGATGACTAGATGGATCTGCATAAGGAGAAGTCTATATGAGCAATAGGTAAACCCAGTGACTGGTCTTGGTCTAAAGTATCATAGCCCTGCTTGATTGTGATCAGACCAGTCCAAGAAGAGAGAGTGTGCGAATAAATACAGTGTGTGATGTTGAAGAGGAGGTCACCTTCAAAGTGACACAGAACAATGAGCCATCACCCAACACACTAAGCTAATCCCAGTGTGAAACCAAGCTAGCATGGCTGACAGGAAGAGAGAGAAAGAGACAGAAAAGTGAGAGAGACAATGTGAGAAAGGGATGGAGAGAGAGAGACAGAGAGAGAGAGGGAGAAGGATTTAATTAGGGGAGAGTGGGGTAAGTTGAGCTATTTTTTACATTCAGCATCACTATGTTGTGTATCCCTGGAAATAATCAGAATTAATGTAAACATATCAGTTTTGAAAACATAACTTGTCCAAAAGAAGTGGTCTCTTGGCAAATTTAGCCTAGGGACAGGGTCAGTTGAGCTGCCTTGGGGTAGGTGGGTGATGATGTCCTGTGACAGTGGGTGATGGTGCTGGTAGGTCAAAGTTGAATTCATGGAATGGGGGTGTGGTATATTGAATATCTTAAATGTATACCTACATTATTTTCAGATATAGATCTCTCTGTTCAATATCACTTCCCCTTCCATTTCTTGACCAGTTGTTGTTTCGATGTGCCAATTTGTAGGCAAGTTCTCTGCATTTGAGGCTACTAAGCCCATGAAACTGGTCTGTGAAATTTTTGATATGTTTAGCAAGCTCAGACTCCATGTCATCAGATAAGACCTACTCTATCATAGCCTCTCTTTCGCACAGGTTATTTTTTTTCTTCAGTGTCATTCAGTCTATTTTTCTCATCCCTTGCTGCAGCTAGAATTGGACTTCTTCCCTTCTCTCACTTCCTTGGCTGCTCTCTCAAGAACCTCAAGGGGGGCTAGACCCCTGCTTTATGTTTGTATACACGGGGCACGATAATGTCTGCTCGGTAACAATAAAAATGCACTCTCTTGAGTTCATATGCATGACACGTTGCAAAAATACTATGCATATTATGCATAAAACTGACTAAATGTAATCATAATTTGTATGGGGTATGTTGGCCATTGGCTCAACTTACCCCAAGGTAAACATTTTGACTACATTAGCCCACACAGCTACAAGGATACACTTTCATGCTAGGTTTAGTACCTCATATTGTAGCTTATAGAGACCCCAACTGATGTATAAAACAATATTTTCATTTGACTTTGTGAAAAAGCCGTTTTCTGGACCTAACTTGCTTACCACTTTGCCATGTGGTTTCTTCCTTCACATACTCCATGAAATTATGACCTTTTTCTAAATATTTGGTCACATAATTAATTTTGTGTATGGTTTCCTAGAAACAAGGGGTGCCTCAACTAACCATTTGGCTCAATTTACCCCACTCTCTCCTATGCATTTTCAGGCAGTGCCTTTTTAATGGCTTCATTAACTGGATCAAAGGCCTCTTTGGCCTCCTTTTGAGCGGCAGCCAGAACAGGTCAGGATAACCACAGATCTCTTTCCCTCTCTGCCTTGCTCCATGGGAGCTATGCTGCATCAATGCAGGAACAATTGGCCTCAACCCATTTATCAATCTGTGGTGTCATCCCATCCCAATGCCTGGGTCTGTGTCCGGGGATGGACGGACAGAGGGAAGGGAGGAAGGCCATAGAGGGGGTGTCTGGGTAAACAGACTGATGCAGGGCTGGAAAACCCACAGCCTCACTGACCAATTAGGACAAAGACTCCCCCGGTGACGCTTGAGATTTCCACAGCGTCAAATCGACTTTGGCTTAGCGCCATTTCAGCTAAAGCCACACATCTCACCACTAGATCATCATCAACCCATCTCACTACAATGGCTTCCTCTTAATTATGGTTGTGGAAATAGCTCTGTTAATTTCAATGTGGTGGGAAGGCCATGAAATATGCTGAGTGTGACTGTGACTGTAAGCCCTCCCTTTCCCTTCTTATCCAGAGAAGGTATTTACTTTACATCTCAATGTGTCAATAGCATATGTCTCATGCTCCATGATAGACCCTTCCCCCTCCAGTGGTCCTTAGAGTCCTCTCTGTCATACATACATACATACCTCTCCTGAGGTGCTTCTTGGTCTTGCGGCGGATGCCGTTGACCCCAGGCACAGGCTTCATGTCACTCTTGTTGATGGGCGGCGGGTGCAGAATGGGTTTAGGGGCCCTGGTCAGACACACAGGCAGGCCAGCCGCACACATCAGGATACCTGTCATACCTGGCATAGACACACATGCATACAAGAAAGAAAATAGTCATGTTGGTTTACTATTATGAGTGTCACGGATCCCCCCGGAGGTCTACGTCACTGACCTGGTTCATTACCATAACCCCGGACTGTCTTGTCTCATTACGCACACCTGGTTCCCATTCCCCCTGATTAGTATGTGTATATATGTGCCCTCTGTTCCCCATTGTCCTTGTTGAATATTGTCCCATGTCCGTTGGTCTTGTGAGTACATTGTATTACAGTTTACATGCCGAGTAATTGTGCACTTGTTATTACTGGTCCCATGTATTTATTTAGAGGTTTACACCTCACTCTTTTGTTTGGGTTACAGCCCTGTGTTATATATATATATATATATGTGTATGTTTGTTTTGGGCTTTGTCCACGTCGTTTTCCATGACGTAGCTTATGTTGGGTTGAGTAATAAAATGGATGAGAACTAATGCACTCAATTAAATGCAGCCTCCGATAATTTTTATTTTATTTCAATTTGCGAAAGAGAAGAGAAATTACCTGCAATTGCTGGGTGAACTGGTCCAGAGACAGTCAGGTTCTTAACAGGGAGGGGAGGCACCCTACAGAAGAAGAAAAAACGTCCAATATGAAATCAGGTTTTCAAAAGAGTAAACATAATGACGCTACAGTTAGTTCATTGTTATTAAGTAATGCACATTCTCAATTAGAACAGCCACACTTACACAGATGTGGAATATGTTGCCATAGTGCAAATAGTCCATGGTCACGTGTACTAGCTAGTAGCTACACCACAAACAGTCAGGACCGCTTGACTCATCTACAAACTGTTGAACCAGGGCATGATTCAGAACACACACTCCACACAGAGGAGGAAGACTGTTTACTCGCAAAGACAGCTAAAATAGGAAGTGATAGAGAGCTGTGCACAAAGCATGTGGGTCATGATGAGCCTGTGTGTGTTGGTAAGTCCCTTTTGAGAAAACATGGCCTCCACTCCAGTCTGGTAATAGAGGGCACTCCCATACAGGGCAGACCAGGCTGCAGAGAAAGGTCACCTGTCAGAGGAGCTAGGGTTAGAGACTGCAGACTGAGCTTCTGTTGCTGCTGCAGCTTCTGCTACTCTGTGCAGAAAAAATAACAACTGATCTGCAGAGATGGAGAGGACCACATAGAAGAAAATGCAGCCAAAACAGTTGAGTGCTTAGACAACAGTCGCAATGAAAAGAGAGCAGCTTTAATGACTGAATTATTACACTGTATTAACTTACACAGTATTTCAGTACATGCAAGAAGCATGCCACTTAATTACAGTAGAATGATCTACATTTTCTTAGTTTCCCAAAGGTATTATGTAACATTAATACCATTGATCTAGGAGATCCCTTCCCCCATCTATCTCACTCTCTCTAGTAGCTCTTCAGCACCTCCCTTACAAAATCACTAACGAGAGGCTGCTTTGATATCAGTAGAGCCCTGTGATCCTGTGCCAGGGGAGCCCTTCAATGAACTCTACAGAAATAAAAGGCCCACGTGACCTGGACACTCTGGGTCTGATCTGCCTTATCTCCAATCTCAGGGGAACTAATGTAGTGCTACGCAGGGCCAAGCCACAGAGTAGTCGAGTAGAGATACGAGGCCAGTGTAATGGCCTATGATGTATGTCAGACAGCTGTGTGCATGTATGCTTGAAACACGTATAATTCAGGCGTTGCATGGAGGGGTTGTTTGTGATTGAACAACTAATTCTCACCAGGAGAGCGCAACATACAACAAGAGCCCTTAGCGCCGTCACACGCACGTGGAAGTGTTACAGCATTTGTAATTGAGACATTTTAATGCCATGAGGTCATTCAACCATATAACCTCTTGTTGAGCAAAAACACGCAACAGCATTTCTTGCTACATTTTATTTCAAAATATGGGAAGCTAGTAACTTTAAGCTTTTAACAAGACCCTTGAGTTCTTCTGGGGCCAGTGACGCGTTTGGACCACTGCTGACCTACATCCCCCCTCCAGCCCTTCACCAGGGCCATGGTCACGAGTCCACAGCTGCACACCTAAAGGCCTCACACTCGCTCCTAAGATCTAAAGAGCATTTAGTTGTATTTACATCTATTACTAAGGCTGGTGTTCAGATTTTATCAGGAGGTAGTACCTTACAAATGTACAGTATAGGTACACATGTTCACTGAACACATGAGTGTAGGCTACAATATTGTAGGAGTGATTTAGTATTTCACTTTCAAGCAAATTCCATGAGTTAGTACGGACCCATTAACCTCTTTATCTCTTTCGTTCAGTCAACCCTTGTCACTCTCTTCATTCTCTGCTCTCTCTTCTCACTCCTGTTTACCCCTCCTCTCCTCCATTCCTTCCCCTCACCTCTCTCCCAGACTGACTTTCCAGCCTGACTTGAGCAGGACTTAATTAGACTGAGAGCTATGTGATTTCCTCCCGATTGAGACCAAATTAGGCCCAGTTAGAGAAGTGCTGACGGAGCCCTTATATCTCCTCATCTGTTTATCATGCACCAGGAAGACAGGGGGAGGAGGAGAAGAGGAGAACTCCAAAAGTGCTTGATTTTATATTGTTGTGGTGGAGGACTGGGAGAGGAAGGCAGACCTGGCCAGGGAGAGAGAACAACAGGAGTAATGCACTTCACAAAGCACCCCAAAACAGACAAATAAGCAATAATGACACAGAGCATCTCTACAATTGCATCGGTTTGGTCCGGATGGGCATTCATCATTTATTAAGTTATTTCTCCTTTAATTCTATCTAATGGAGACAGGGCCGAGACAGGGCTGAGACAGGGCTGAGACAGGGCTGAGGGCTCTAGTGGAGAGCAGAGCAGTGCAGCGCAGCGGTAGGGCTGTGTAATCCCTGCTGCGTCCCCTGGCCTGTTCATATCAGATAGCTAGCTCTCCAGTCTGAACAGAGTCCAACACCGTTAATCAGTTAATAGAAGGAGACATGAGCACCAAAACAAATCCTACTCACTCAGCCAAGGGCAGAGAGCACTGCTGGGCAGCATAGTACCATTAACTGCCTCATAATTAAATGAGCTAGTAGTGCAAGTATAAAGGATCTCACTTACCATGCCTCCTCTGCCGTCTTCATCTTTAGAGAACACACAAAGAAATAAAAACATTTCCTATCTTTTAGACCTCACAAACAATCTCTGTGTTCTCAAATGGGGAAGTGAATGGAGGAAGTTGTGATAAGGAAGTGGCTTGTCGCTGTCAAATTCACATCACAGAGGACTGGAGCAAACTCTGCAAGTGTCTCTGCAACTCTGTGCTCTGTACACTGCAGATAGATAGAGAACCAGAGGCCTTGTTCATTAGGAATTATCTCTCTAACATCTAATAAGGTGATATGCTCTTTATTCCACTCTAGTTTCTTCCTCTTTGGAAGAATAAGTTCCTAGTTGTAGGGTTGTTTTTATACGTTGCTTTTATATGTGTTCTGACATTTCTTATTTAGGTACAGAAGATCAAGCGTAAAGGCCAATTGGAAAGTGAATTGCAGGTGGCAACCATTGGAAACCCAATATGAAAGCAAATGTGACATGTTAAGACAGACCAGTAGGGGGTGCTCTTTACACCCCCTCTGATATTTACTACGACATCACAACAACCATTTTACATTTTAGTCATTTTAGCAGACGCTCTTATCCAGAGCGACTTACAGTTAGTGCATACATTTTCATACTGGCCCCCCGTGGGAAACAAACCCACAACCCTGGCGTTGCAAGCGCCATGCTCTACCAACTGAGCTACAGGGGACTACATGTTCGAGGATAGTGAAACTAAGCCTGAAATTATTCAGTCGTAAACTAGTTCATTAAACTACCTTATAATCATCTACATGTTATCACAAGGTTATTATTTCAACTGCATTCTTTGTCATTGGCGACAGAGGTATTGTGTCCAATATGTGTGGGTGTGTGTTTTACTGTTATCTGTCTATAAATGAACTCGCTGAAATGTGTGAGGGTATTCATGTGTCTGTGCGTCTGTGTCCTGCTGTGTGTGTTGTTGTTAACCACACTCTTCCTTTGTGTGTAGAGCCACTTGCCTGGTAAACATTGTTCTCCACCTCACCCCTTTCTCTCTCTGTCTCGCTCTCTCTCTATCTGTCTTTCTCACAGTCTTCTCCCACAGCCTCTCACAGTTCCCTCCTGCCCACTGCACAGAGTTGAGAAACGAGCACTCCATCCACTCCAGGCCTCTGATTTGATAGGGCCCTTATAAATCACCACAGGACTTCTCAGCTGTTACACACACACACAATAATACACTCCTGCCTGTTTCACACGCTCAGGTGAGCTCAGGGCAATATCAATCTGCCACCTGTCCACTCAGTCATGTGCTTCCATGAGCTGCCAACATCACACATTCCCTTACACAGAACTAGGCCTTGTGAAGTCAGTGTGTGTCTGCCTGAAGGACAGCATCATTTCAACATATACTGTCTAACTGTTTCTCTCCCCATCAGCTGTGAGAGGGAAATGGAATGAAATGAGTTCACGAGAGGGTTTATTTTAGTAAAGAAAACAGGATAGGGACTGAGATATCGGTTACAGCTCTACATACTTATTTCCTTCAGTTCCCCTCACTGAATCGCTCTCGGGTCAGATAGCTCTGCTCAAGCTCCCATTTTTCCCTGATCTATTATTCATCTCTCCCCAGTGTATCTCTGCCGCCACGGCAAATGGGTTTCCACAGCTACATGGGAGCACAGCTTTACACATGGACACACACAGGCTTACACTCACACAAGCATAGAATAATAGAATAACCTGACACATAGCTAACACCACTGTGTGGTAGAAATGAACTGGGTAAAATTAGAGGCACAGAGCAGCTATTCAGAGTCTATTGAGGCAAGCGTAAGCTTATTATTCAGGACAACCATGCTAAGATTCAAATGTGGAGCAGAAGGAAACAGTTCCCTACACTTCCCAGTGCAGAGAGAGATGAGAGAGGAGTAAGTACAGAGAGGAGAGAGAAGATATGGGATAAAGAGGAGAGATGAGAGCGGCAGCATAGCTGTCAATGACCTGGAGCTCCCTCTGCAGAGCCGTTGATCCCCCAGTTAACAAGAGGTGCAGAGAGAGAGAGAGAGAGAGAGAGAGAGAGAGAGAGAGAGAGAGAGAGAGAGAGAGAGAGAGAGAGAGAGAGAGAGAGAGATGAGAGAGAGATAGAGATAGCGCTATATAGATAGATAAGTATCTCTATCGCTCCTCTATCTCTCTCTCTGCATCTCGCTCTCTCCTCTATCCTTTCTCTCTCCTCTGCGCTCCCTCTCTCTCTCTCTCTCTCTCTCTCTCTCGATCTTCTCTCCCCTCTCCGCTCTCCCTCATCGATCCCTACTTCTCTCTCACGTCTATCTCTCTCTCTCTTGCTCTTGCTCTCCTCTCTCTGTCTCCTTCTATATCTCTCGTCTAGTCTTCTCGCCTCACCCATCTCCCCATTCCATCCCTACTATCTCCATATGGTATCCGATATTCATACATAGTATAGATAGAGAGAGATTTTCCCCTTTAATACCTTCCAATTGCTTAATCTATTGTCATCAAATTTAAAATGCATTCTACAGACTAACTGGATGTGCTTTTGTTGTGTGCCTTTGTGTTATTCTCATGTTTTGTTTAGCAAATCTGTAGTGGAATGTAATCCAAATGATTGTCATGGTTACCCTAGTGGGATGGCTCCTCTGGCAGTGCCCATGGAAATGCGCTGGGTGCCCGGCCGGTTCAGGTTGTTCTGCCCATTGATGATGGCATGGTGACCATGGGAGTGGGCGTGGGAGTGGCCATGTGCAGGCGGATGGGACGACAGTGCCGGGGAACAGGGGAAGTTGGCACTAGACAGGGGCGACTGCACCTGTTCAGCTTTGGCTTGGCCTCCTCCTGCGCTTATGTTGTTATGTTGTATATTATTGGTCCCGGCACCGGAGGTGGGGGACCAGAGGGTGGTTCCAGTGAAGGTGTTACTCTGCCGTACCACGGTGAGCGTGTCTGTAGCCCCTGAAGGTCCCGTGGCCCCCCCATACAGCTTACGGCGCTGAGAGGCCAGGATGGCGTTGGAGGCAGCCCGCGTGCTGTTGACCAGGATGCACTGCTGGCAGGAGCAGGGCTGGCCGGAGCTGGCTCCCACGGGCCAAGACTGGGACTTGGGGATGGAGCCCATGATGAGAGGGTAGGCTAGGTCCATGCGTCGGCGCAGGCGGCGTTTCCTCTGGCTCTGCCGGTTGGTCTGGGTCATGCTGTTGAAGTCAATGAGGTAGCAGAAGCCCAGAGAGGTCAGGTCCAGCCAGGGGTGCTGCTTCTCATAGGCGTTCTGGACGGTCACACAGATCTCCATGTCGTAGGGCGTCCAGGAGCTGCTGTCGTTCTCCCACTCCCACACCACACCCTTCCCCGGGGCCGACGACGGCTCATAGAAGTTCCTGTGGACCGGCCTCATGGTGCCTGGAGGAAGAGAGCAAGAGGGAGGATAGGAGGTCAGAGGAGAGGGAACAACTGTACGCATCCCATCATAGATTATTCACATACCAAGATATCAAACCACTTTTCGTTTAAATAATCATGCATTTAAATGTATAATTCATTGAATAAATTGGCCACGCATGCTTCAAAATGAGAAAGCAACCCAGATACTAATATGTGAAAATGACAGACTCTTCCTGATTTTCTACAGGTCTCTTTGTTGAGGAAGGGGAATGGGAGGGGGAGACGGAGGTGTACCTCTGCCCCTCTGCTGATGGGCCCTCAGCCCCCACCTCTATTATAACACAATTATTGTGGTCACATGGGAAATCAGGACACCTCTCCCCATCCATCTCCTGGCTCTCCGGCGAGGAACACCACCACCCTTCCCCCATTTAATTTAACGGCTAAATGCACACTCCCTTGCAGGGGAGCACCGGGGTGATAATGGAAGGATGAAGGTGTGTGTAGTGGGGCTGGTGGGGATGGGTGGGGGTCAGCGGTGGTAACCCCCCAGTCATACAGTCCAGCACCACTGGCTCCAGAGAATAAAACGCATCAGCACAATCAGTAGCGCTGACCTTGAATTCCTGCCGCAAACTGTGGTAAAGGACTTGGCTTGGCGGCTGATTTCATTTGGAAGGCTGCTGAGAACCTCTGCACACAGACACAGACATAGACACACGCACCCACCCACCCGCACGCACCCAAGCTAGAACAAAAACACACAAGAAATAAAAATAAGCAGAACATGAGCTACAGAGGGACACATTAACATGCAACATATTTACACTCTCTCTTTCTCTCTGTAAGGCTGTGTGTGTGTGTGTGTTTGTTCTTTGGTCTCTGACCCAATAAATGGATGTGCAGCAGCTCCACACTTTCTTGTTAAACGGTAAGTTAACACTAGCCTTATAAATATTTCATTGTGTGGAGACTTTATTAGCTGGGCATCAATTTAGCTTCACCAACTAATGGTGAGTAAAAATAAACAGTCCCTCCCTTTAAGAGACAATTAGCTATTCATAGGCCATAATAGAAGCTAATGTAAAGACAACACTGCAAAAAAATATTATACTTATAAATACAAACACAACATGCAACATTTCAAGTTGAAGTTACAGTTCATATAAGGAAATCAGTCAATTGAAATAAATTCATTAGGCCCTAATCTATGAATTTCACATGACCAGGAATACAGATATGCATCTGTTGGTCACAGATACCTTTAAAAAAAAAGGTAGGGGTGTGGATCAGAAAACCAGTCAGTATCTAGTGTGACCATCATTTGCCTCATGCAGCGCGACATACAGTTGAAGTCTGAAGTTTACATACACTTAGGTTGGAGTCATTAAAACTCATTTTTCAACCACTACACAAATTTCTTGTTAAAAAACTATAGTTTTGGCAAGTCGGTTAGGACATCTACTTTGTGCATGACACAACTAATTTTTCCAACAATTGTTTACAGACAGATTATTTCACTTATAATTCACTGTATCACAATTCCAGTGGGTCAGAAGTTTACATACGCTAAATTGACTGTGCCTTTAAACATCTTGGAACATTTCAGAAAATGATGTCATGGCTTTAGAAACTTCTGATAGGCTAAACGACATCATTTTAGTCAATTGGAGGTGTACCTGTGGATGTATTTCAAGGCCTACCTTCAAACTCAGTGACTCTTTGCTTGACATCATGGGAAAATCAAAAGAAATCAGCCAAGACCTCAGAAAAAAAATTGTAGACCTCCACAAGTCTGGTTCATCCTTGGGAGCAATTTCCAAACGCCTGAAGGTACTACGTTCATCTGTACAAACAATAGTACGCAAGTATAAACACCTTGGGACCATGCAGCCGTCATACCGCTCAGGAAGGAGACGCGTTCTGTCTCCTAGAGATGAACGTACTTTGGTGCGAAAAGTGCAAATCAATCCCAGAACAATAGCAAAGGACCTTGTGAAGATGCTGGAGGAAACAGGTACAAAAGTATCTATATCCACAGTAAAACGAGTCCTATATCGACATAACCTGAAAGGCCGCTCAGCAAGGAAGAAGCCACTGCTCCAAAACGACCATAAAAAAGCCAGACTACGGTTTGCAACTGCACATGGGGACATAGATCTTACTTTTTGGAGAAATGTCCTCTGGTCTGATGAAACAAAAATAGAACTGTTTGCCCATAATGACCATCGTTATGTTTGGAGGATAAAGGGGGTTGCTTGCAAGCCGAAGAACACCATCCCAACCGTGAAGCACGGGGGTGGCAGCATCACGCTGTGGGGGTGCTTTGCTACAGGAGGGACTGGTGCACTTCACAAAATAGATGGCATCAGGAGGAAGGAAAATTATGTGGATATATTGACGCAAAGTCTAAAGACATCAGTCAGGAAGTTAAAGCTTGGTCGCAAATGGGTCTTCCAAATGGACAATGACCCCAAGCATACTTCCAAAGTTGTGGCAAAATGGCTTAAGGACAACAAAGTCAAGGTATTGGAGTGGCCTTCACAAAGCCCTGACCTCAATCCTATAGAAAAGTTGTGGGCAGAACTGAAAAAGCGTGTGCGAGCAAGGGGGCCTACAAACCTGACTCAGTTACACCAGCTCTGTCAGGAGGAATGGGCCAAAATTCACCCAACTTATTGTGGGAAGTTTGTGGAAGGCTACCTGAAACGTTTGACCCAAGTTAAACAATTTAAAGGCAATGCTACCAAATAGTAATTGAGTGTATGTAAACTTCTGACCCACTGGGAATGTGATGAAATAAATAAAAACTGAAATAAATCATTCTCTTTACTATTATTCTGACATTTCACATTCTTAAAATAAAGTGGTGATCCTAACTGACCTAAGGCAGTTCGATCCCGAGCATCCCAAATATGCTCAATAGGTGACATGGAAGAACTGGGACATTTTCAGCTTCCAGGAATTGTGTACAGATCCTTGCGACACGGGGCCGTGCATTATCATGCTGAAACATGAAGTGATGGCGGCGGATGAATGGCACGACAATGGGCCTCAGGATCTCGTCACGGTATCTCTGTCCATTCAAATTGCCATCAATAAAATGCAACTGTGTTCATTGTCCACTGCCACCATGGGGCAGTCTCTTCACAACCTTGACATCAGCAAACCGCTTGCCCACACAACGCCTTACACGTGCTCAGAGGTTGTGAGGCCTGTTGGACGTATGGACGTACTGCCAAATTCTCTAAAACTATGTTGGAGGGGGCTTATGGTAGAGAAATTAACATTAAATTATCTGGCAACAGCTTTGGTGGACATTCCTGCAGTCAGCATGCCAAATGCGCACTCCCTCAAAACTTGTGCTGGGGACAATAAAATGCCACTCTAAAATGTGCAGTTTTGTCACAGTGCCACAGATGTCTCAAGGTGCACTTGTGTAATAACCATGCTGTTTAATCAGCTTCTTGATATGCCACACCAGTCAGATGGATGGATTATATTGGCAAAGGAGAAATGCTCACTAACAGGGATGTAAACAGATTTGTTCACAACATTTTAGAGAAATTAGCTTTTTGTGCGTATGGACAATTTCTGGGATCTTTTATTTCAGCTCATGAAACATGGGAACAACACTTTACATGTTATGTTTATATTTTTGTTCAGTGTACACTACCGGTCCAAAGTTTTAGAACACCTACTGATTCAAGGGTTTTTCTTTATTTGTACTATTTTCTACATTGTAGAATAATAGTGAAGACATCAAAACTACGAAATAACACATTTGGAATCATGTAGTAACCAAAAAAGTGTTTAACAAATCAAAATATATGTTATATTTGAGATTATTCAAATAGCCACCCTTTGCTTTGATGACAGCTTTGCACACTCTTGGCATTCTCTCAACCAGCTTCATGAGGTAGTCACCTGGAATGGATTTCAATTAACAGGTGTGCCTTGTTAAAAGTTAATTCGTGGAATTTCTTTCCTTCTTAATGCATTTGAGCCAATCAGTTGTGTTGTGACAAGGTAGGTGGGGGGTATACAGAAGATAGCCCTATTTGTTAAAAGACCAAGTCCATATTATGGCAAGAACAGCCCACATGAGCAAAGAGAAATGACTTTAAGACATGAAGGTCAGTCAATACGGAAACTTGTGCAGTCGCAAAAACCATCAAGCACTATGACGAAACTAGCTCTCATGAGGACCACCACAGGAATGGAAGACCCAGAGTTACCTCTGCTGCAGAGGATAAGTTCATTAGAGTTACCAGCCTCAGAAATTGCAGCCCAAATAATTGCTTCACAGAGTTCAAGTAACAGACACTCAACATCAACTGTTCAGAGGAGACTGTGTGAATCAGGCCTTCATGGTCGAATTGCTGCAAAGAAACCACTACTAAAGGACACCAATAAGAAGAAGAGACTTGCTTGGGCTATTTGTCCTTTGGTCTGGAGTCCAACTTGGAGATTTTTGGTTCCAACCACTGTGTCTTTGTGAGACGCGGTGTGGGTGAATGGATGATCTCTGCATGTGTATTTCCCACCGTAAAGCATGGAGGAGGAGGTGTTATGGTGTGGTGGTGCTTTGCTGGTGACACTGTCTGTGATTTATTTGTATATTGATATGGTTTGGGATGAGTCGGACGGCAGAGTGATGGAAAAGCAGCCAACAAGTGCTCAGCATATGTGGGAACTCCTTCAAGACTGTTGGAAAAGCATTCCAGGTTAAGCTGGTTGAGAGAATGCCAAGAGTGTGCAAAGCTGTCATCAAGGCAAAGGGTGGCTATTTGAAGAATCTCAAATATAAAATATATTTTGATTTGTTTAACACTTTCTTGGTTACTACATGATTCCATATGTGTTATTTCATAGTTTTGATGTCTTCACTATTATTCTACAATGTAGAAAATAGTAAAAATAAAGAAAAACCCTTGAATGAGTAGGTGTTCTAAAACTTTTGACCGGTAGTGTATATAAATGGTGACATGCCCAAATGGAGGGTTGATTGTAAATCATGTTCCCTTGGTTATTACAGCTAACTACCGTCAACAGAATATTATGTAGGGTCATGACACTCCCATGAGAAATAACCCCTCACTAGGGTCAACCTCTGAATACATTACTCCATCCTATTACAGACTATAAATCATATACATCACATGTAAACCCCAGGATATAACCTGTCAAAAGAAGAAACATGGGAATGTCGAACAGCCAAGAGCCACCCCTCTAATTAAATGACTGATTCTGGTCTAGTGTTTGTATTTCTATGCTGTGGTATTGACTGGGGTTAGCTAGGGCCTTAAGGAGAAAGTGAAGGTCACATGGAACCAAAATAGGAAGCTCCACTCACAGACAGCACAAACAACCTCCTCACAGCACCTCATATGACTACCTGACCCATGTACTAATTTACTGTTGTATATATCATGGCTCCAGCCCAAAGGCTGAGGCAGAGTTGTCGATCCTATCCGTGCGACCCAGCCGTCCCTGCATGTGCTTCCTGACAGGAAACAGAGAGAGAGTGGTCACTTCCTGTCTGACTCTATGTGCCTTTGGCAGCAGTATCTCCCTTCCTGGAGTCTCTCCTCCTTCTCTCCCCCGTCCTTCTCTCCCCCATCCTGTCTCCCCTCTCCCCCCGTCCCCTCCTCCCCCTCCTCATGACATCCTCCAGCTGTCCTTGCCCAACACGACAGCGGTCCCATTGGGTGAGGAGTAGTGGCAATGTGATGTATCACTGTGTCAAGCCTCACTGTGGGACTGTAACCCTAGCTCACACATGGGGTGAGTTGGTGAACTAGTTGTGGAAAACCGAGTGGCTTCCTGATGATCTGTTCCCTCCCTGACAGAGTCTATCATTCATCTCTCTTTAATGGGGTTGTTTTTGTCTTGAGTTGAAGACAGGTCAGTCTGATTCCTTCCCTTTGTCTTTCCTCAGGTAGGACATATGTTACAAGACTGTCACTGCATCCTTCATTAGATAGCCCCCCAGATAATACAACAGGCCTCCTAAAGGAAGTGAAAGCAGATGCAATGTCACTGGTTCTGATATTTTGTGAGCTCACGTCTTACTGCAGACTGGCTGTCATATGTGTTTGCTGATCCCACAAATCAGAGGACCAGTTACATCATCTACAGGGCAGTTAAATCATCATAAAAGCTTAACTCTTGGGATACCACAGCAACCATACTTTACAACCACTGAACAGAATCAATAGCGTATAAAATATATATATATATATATACAGTACTGTGAAAAAGTATTTTCCCCCTTTCTGATTTTCTCTATTTTGGATAATGAATGTTATCAGATGTTCAACCAAAACCTAATATTAGATAAAGGGAACCTAAGTTTACATGAGCAAACCGCTTGCCCACACATCGCCATACACGTGCTCTGCATCAATTTAGCTTCACCAACTAATGGTGAGTAAAAATAAACAGTCCCTCCCTTTAAGAGACAATTAGCTATTCATAGGCCATAATAGAAGCTAATGTAAAGACAACACTGCAAAAAAATATTATACTTATAAATACAAACACAACATGCAACATTTCAAGTTGAAGTTACAGTTCATATAAGGAAATCAGTCAATTGAAATAAATTCATTAGGCCCTAATCTATGGATTTCACATGACCAGGAATACAGATATGCATCTGTTGGTCACAGATACAGTGAGGGAAAAAAGTATTTGATCCCCTGCTGATTTTGTACGTTTGCCCACTGACAAAGAAATGATCAGTCTATAATTTTAATGGTTGGTTTATTTGAACAGTGAGAGAATGAATAACAACAACAAAAATCAAGAAAAACGCATGACAAAAATGTTATAAATTGATTTGCATTTTAATGAGGGAAATAAGTATTTGACCCCCTCTCAATCAGAAAGATTTCTGGCTCCCAGGTGTCTTTTATACAGGTAACGAGCTGAGATTAGGAGCACACTCTTAAAGGGAGTGCTCCTAATCTCAGCGTGTTACCTGTATAAAAGACACCTGTCCACAGAAGCAATCAATCAATCAGATTCCAAACTCTCCACCATGGCCAAGACCAAAGAGCTCTCCAATGATGTCAGGGACAAGATTGTAGACCTACACAAGGCTGGAATGGGCTACAAGACCATCGCCAAGCAGCTTGGTGAGAAGGTGACAACAGTTGGTGCGATTATTCACAAATGGAAGAAACACAAAAGACTGTCAATCTCCCTCGGCCTGGGGCTCCATGCAAGATCTCACCTCGTGGAGTTGCAATGATCATGAGAACGGTGAGGAATCAGCCCAGAACTACACGGGAGGATCTTGTCAATGATCTCAAGGCAGCTGGGACCATAGTCACCAAGAAAACAATTGGTAACACACTACGCCGTGAAGGACTGAAATCCTGCAGCGCCCGCAAGGTCCCCCTATTCAAGAAAGCACATATACAGGCCCATCTGAAGTTTGCCAATGAACATCTGAATGATTCAGAGGAGAACTGGGTGAAAGTGTTGTGGTCAGATGAGACCAAAATCAAGCTCTTTGGCATCAACTCAACTCGCCGTGTTTGGAGGAGGAGGAATGCTGCCTATGACCCCAAGAACACCATCCCCACCGTCAAACATGGAGGTGGAAACATTATGCTTTGGGGGTGTTTTTCTGCTAAGGGGACAGGACAACTTCACCGCATCAAAGGGATGATGGACGGGGCCATGTACTGTCAAATCTTGGGTGAGAACCTCCTTCCCTCAGCCAGGGCATTGAAAATGGGTCGTGGATGGGTATTCCAGCATGACAATGACCCAAAACACACGGTCAAGGCAACAAAGGAGTGGCTCAAGAAGAAGCACATTAAGGTCCTGGAGTGGCCTAGCCAGTCTCCAGACTTTAATCCCATAGAAAATCTGTGGAGGGAGCTGAAGGTTCGAGTTGCCAAACGTCAGCCTCGAAACCTTAATGACCAAAGAGGAGTGGGACAAAATCCCTCCTGAGATGTGTGCAAACCCGGAGGCCAACTACAAGAAACGTCTGACCTCTGTGATTGCCAACAAGGGTTTTGCCACCAAGTATTAAATCATGTTTTGCAGAGGGGTCAAATACTTATTTCGCTCATTAAAATGCAAATCAATTTATAACATTTTTGACATGCGTTTTTCTGGATTTGTTTGTTGTTATTCTGTATCTCACTGTTCGAATAAAACTACTATTAAAATTATAGACTGATCATGTCTTTGTCAGTGGGCAAACGTTCAACATCAGCAGGGGATCAAATACTTTTTTCCCTCACTGTACCTTTAAAAAAAAAAGGTAGGGGCGTGGATCAGAAAACCAGTCAGTATCTGGTGTGACCATCATTTGCCTCATGCAGTGCGACATATCTCTTTTGCAAAGAGTTGATCAGGCTGTTGATTGTGGCATGTGGAATGTTGTCCCACTCCTCTTCAATGGCTGTGCAAAGTTGCTGGATATTTGCGGGAACTGGAACACGCTATCGTACTGGTCAATCCAGAGCATCCCAAATATGCTCAATAGGTGACATGTCTGGTGAGTATGCAAGCCATGGAAGAACTGGGACATTTTCAGCTTCCAGGAATTGTGTACAGATCCTTGTGACATGGGGCCGTGCATTATCATGCTGAAACATGAGGTGATGGCGGTGGATGAATGGCACGACAATGGGCCTCAGGATCTCGTCACGGTATCTCTGTCCATTCAAATTGCCATCGATAAAACGCAACTGTGTTCGTTGTCCGTAGCTTATGCCTGCCCATACCATAACCCCACCGCCACCATGGGGCACTCTGTTCACAACCTTGACATCAGCAAACCGCTTGCCCACACAACGCCATACACGTGCTCTGCGGTTGTGAGGCCTGTTGGACGTACTGCCAAATTCTCCAAAATGATGTTGGAGGCGGCTTATGGTAGAGAAATTAACATTAAATTATCTGGCAACAGCTTTGGTGGACATTCCTGCAGTCAGCATGCCAATTGCGCACTCCCTCAAAACTTGTGCTGGGGACAATAAAAGGCCACTCTAAAATGTGCAGTTTTGTCACCCAACACAATGCCACAGATGTCTCAAGGTGCACCTGTGTAATGACCATGCTGTTTAATCAGCTTCTTGATTTGCCACACCAGTCAGATGGATGGATTATATTGGCAAAGGAGAAATGCTCACTAACATGGATGTAAACTAATTTGTTCACAACATTTTAGAGAAATGTGCTTTTTGTGCGTATGGACAATTTCTGGGATCTTTTGACAACATGAGTCCCATTATGCCTGGCAAAAAACAAACACTGCATTCCACAGTAAGAACCTCATACCAACGGTCAAGCATGGTGGTGGTAGTGTGATGGTTTGGGGATGCTTTGCTGCCTCAGGACCTGGATGACTTGCCTTAATAGAAGGAACCATGAATTCTGCTCTTAATCAGAGAATTCTACAGGAGAATATCAGGCCATCCATCCGTCTGTGAGCTGAAGCTGAAGCGCAGTTGGGTCATGCAGCAAGACAATGATCCAAAATACACAATAAAGTCTACATGAAAATGGTTAAAAAGCAACACATTTGAAGTTTTGGAATGGCCTAGTCAAAGTCCAGACCTAATCCCAATTGAGATGTTGTGGCAGGACTTGAAACGAGCACGCTGAGTTAAAGCAGTTCTGCATGCAAGAGTGGGCCAAAAGCATTTGGTTGCAGTCATTGCAGCTAAAGGTGGCACAACCAGTTATTGAGTGTAAGGGGGCAATTACTTTTTCACACAGGGGCATTGGGTGTTGCATAACTTTGTTTATGAAATAAATGAAATACGTACAGTTGAAGTCGGAAGTTTACATACACTTAGGTTGGAGTCATTAAAAATCGTTTTTCAACCACTCCACAAGTTTCTTGTTAACAAACTATAGTTTTGGCAAGTCGGTTAGGACATCTACTTTGTGCATGACACAAGTAATTTTTCCAACAATTGTTTACAGACTTATAATTCACTGTATCACAATTCCAGTGGGTCAGAAGTTTACATACACTAAGTTGACTGTGCCTTTAAACAGCTTGGAAAATTCCAGAAAATGATGTCATGGCTTTAGAAGCTTCTGATAGGCAAATTGACATCATTTGAGTCAATTGGAGGTGAACCTGTGGATGTATTTCAAGGCCTTTGCTTGACATCATGGGGAAATCAAAATATATCAGCCAAGACCTAAGAAAAAAAATTGTAGACCTACACAAGTCTGGTTCATCACTTCAGAGCAATTTCCAAACGCCTGAAGGTACCATGTTCATCTGTACAAACAATAGTCCGCAAGTATAAACACCATGGGACCACGCAGTCGTCATACCGCTCAGGAAGAGACGCGTTCTTTCTCCTAGAGATGAACGTACTTTGGTGCGAAAACTGCAAATCAATCCCAGAACAACAGTAA